GCCTGGATCACCACCTGTGTTCAAGGCGCGCTATGTGGCGAGAGGCTTCAGTCAGCGAGAGGGGGTGGACTTCTTCCAGACCTTTGCTTTCACCCCGAAGATGAGTACTCTTCGGGTGCTGCTGCATATTGCAGCCCAGCGCGACTACGAGTTGCACTCCTTGGACTTTTCCACCGCGTTCCTTCAGGAGAGCCTGCACGAGCAGATCTGGCTGCGTCGCCCGCCTGGCTTCACTGGCTCTTTCCCACCTGGGACCCAGTGGCAGCTGCGTCGACCAGTCTACGGCCTGCGTCGGGCTCCACGTGAGTGGCACGACACACTTCGCTCGACCCTTGCAACGCTTGACTTCTTTCCGTCGTCTGCCGACCCGTCACTGTTCGTCCGCCGTGGCTCGACCCCGTTCTTTGTCCTGGTCTACGTCGACGACCTAGTATACGCCACTCGCGACCGACGCGCGCTGGCCTCCGTGAAGGAGGAACTGCAGAGGAGACACACTTGCACTGACCTTGGTGAGCTGCAACACTACCTTGGCCTGCAGATCACCAGGGACAGGGCAGCTCGCACCATTACGCTGACGCTGTCGCATATGGTCGAGCAGATCCTCACGCGGTTTCGCTTCCCGTTCTCCAAGGTACAGCTCACCCCTCTTGCTGTGGATCATGGGCTCACGGCTCCACCTTCGGACGAGTCATTTGAGTCCAGTGGTCCATATCCTGAGCTGGTGGGTTGTCTCATGTACCTGATGACCTGTACTCGCCCAGACCTAGCTTACCCTCTTAGCGTCCTTGCGCGCTTTGTTGCGCCTGGGAGACACCGACCGTCCCACTGGTCCGCTGCTAAGAGGGTGGCGAAGTATGTGGCGAGTAGATCAGGCATTGGACTTGTCCTTGGAGGGAAGCAGCCAGTTACACTCACAGGTTACTCAGACTCGTCGTGGGCCGACGACGCGGAGACGCGTCGGTCTACACAGGGGTACTCCTTTAGCCTTGGGACAGGTGCTGTCTCGTGGCGGTCGACTCGGGCGTCGTCCGTCGCCGGTTCCAGCTGTGAGGCAGAGGTGTACGCTGCGGCCATGGCCGCTTAGGAGCTTCGCTGGCTGTCTTTCCTTCTCACCGACCTTGGTGAGCGGCCTCGCTCTCCCCCAGTCTTGTTCGCCGACAACAGGTCTGCTGTCCTGTTGTGTGAGGAGCCTCGACTAGTTGGGAAGGCGAAGCACATCCAGCTTCGTTACTTCCTTCTGCGTGAGTTGCAGCAGCGTGGCCACGCGCTCGTTCCACGTGGGCCAACACGGCAGATATCTTCACCAAGGCGTTGCCACCTTGTGACCACCAGCGTTTCTGCACCCTGCTTGGCCTTGTGCCTGCCCGTCCACACTTGCTTACGTAGAGATGCCTTGTGACAGTTCTGGCGGTGGTCAGAGGCAGTAGCAGCAGCGTCCGCGTGAGACCCCTACGCCCCAGGAGCTTCGTGAGTGGCTTGCTCAGCGTGGGGCGTCTGGGGGTAGTGTTCGCTGCCAGTACGTCATTCGCACAGGTGATCGCGCTGGTCAGACATGCGGGAAGGTTGGTCACATACAGTCCCGCTGCTTCTCCCGTCTTGACGACGCCTGGTGCGCACAGTTTCCCGACGCGACTAAGCTCCCCCGCTGGCTAGAGCTGCTTAGGCAGGGTGTGTATATCTTTGCTTGAATATGACGCTATCCTTGCTGCCATGTATGCTTTGACTGTTAGTGCTGAGGGTGACTGTTATCTGTGTATGCTGCCTGACCCAGGTATAGAGGCTGCTGCTCTAGGTGCTAGTGAGTCTGCTCTCCCTGGTACTGCGCCTGCTGAGGCCTTGCACATTTTCACGCTTGACTCAGGTGCTTCCCGCTGCTTCTTTCGCGACAGTACCAAAATAATACCACTCCCAGCACCTGCTGCAGTCTCTCTGGCTGACCCCTCAGGGGGCCCGGTTCTTGCACGTTCCTCCACTGTTCTCCCGTGTCTGGCGTTTCCGTCTGGCTCACTGTCAGGTCTTCACCTCCCCTCGTTCTCTACGAACTTTGTGAGCAACGCAGTCCTTCAGGATGAATGGGTTAATACCTTCACCCTTGGAGGGCAGCGTGTGGCAATCTGTACGTGGTCCCGGACTGGCCGTCACCTAGCTACGTTCACTCGACGGCCTGGGTCTAGTCCGTACACACTGACCACTGCGTCTGCACAGGTGGCTAAGTCAGGTCAAGTGGCTGTGTCGAGTCGGGTGCTGCGTCTGGTCAGCTTGCAGCGTCTTGCTCGTGTCGGGTACTCTCCCACCAGACTTTCCTCCGGCACCACCACCTTGGTCACCCCTCACTGCCGCGTCTCCGCAGCATGCACGCCCGTCTCCTTGTCTCTGGCCTTCACAGGTCCCTGCCCTCCCTCGTGCACTCGCATGCACTGCCGTGCCTTCCCTGCGTGGAGGGGCGGCAGCGCGCCGCTCCTCACTCCTCCGAGTTTCCTCCGACCACTGCTCCTCTGCAGACTCTCCACATGGACGTGTGGGGCCCGGCCCCCGTTCGGTGGAACAGACCAGGAGCGCTACTTCCTGCTGGTTGTTGACGACTACACACGCTACACCACTATCTTCCCCTTGCGACGCAAGGCGGAAGTCAGCGGTGTTTTGATCCCCTTGATCCGTGCTACTCGTCGCCAACTACGCTAGCGATTTTGTCGGGACTTGCGAATCCTGCGTCTGCACTCTGACAGGGGCGGTGAGTTCTCTTCTGGCCTCCTTGAGGAGTTCTCTCGAGACGAGGGCATCCGCCAGATGTTCTCGCTTCCGGCCTCTCCGCAGCAGAATGGGATTGCTGAGCGTCGCATTGGCTTGATCATGGAGGTTGCTTGTACCTCCTTGATCCATGAGGCTGCTCCCCATTTTCTGTGGCCGTTTGCGGTCCAATGCGCTGCGCATCAGCTCAACCTCTGGCCCCATGTCTCTGAGCCAGAGACCTTGCCTACACTCCGGTGGACGGGGAAGGTTGGCGATGCGTCGGTGTTTCGGGTTTGGGGCGCGCTCTCCCTTGTTCGCGATGCCAAAGCGAGCAAGCTCTCTTCTCGCACTCTCCGCTGCGTCTTCCTTGGCTTCCCCACCGACGCCCCGCCGTGGGAGTTCTACTACCCGCGCGACCTTCGCATGTTCTCCTCCCATGATGTCACCTTTGACGAGTCGGTCTGTTTCTACAGACTACACCCGCACGCGTCCCACCCGGTCCCCCTCGCGCCTCTCTTCCTGGTACCAGTTCCCCCCCCGGTAGACCCCCTCCCCCCACAGGGTCCTACTCCCTTAGGTGTGTCTTAGGTAGACCCACCCCCCTTGGTTGAGCCTTTGGAGATCTCTTCTGACTCCTATGGCCCAGCTGAGGGGGGTGACCCCGCCGGTGACGACATGGCGGCCACTCGCAGCTCTCCACGCTTGGAGACCCACGCTGGTTTTCCGCCTCGGCCGTCTTCGACGCCTCCGCAGCCTGCTGCTGTGGACTCTGGAGCTGAGACTGCTGGTGCTGAGCCTAGGGGTGCTGAGACAGAGGGTGAGGGGTCTGGGGGTGCTGCGACTGGGGGTGCTGGTTCTGGGGGTGTTGTGACTAGGGGTGCTGTTAGTCCTAGTGGCGGTGGAGCTATGGGTGACCCTGTTGGAGGTCCTGGAGCTGGACAGCCACCGCAGCCTGATCTACATGAGACGCTCTCGCCGCAGGCGATTCATGCGTGGATCGTTCGGCGAGGCAGTCCTGGTGGTGGAGGGTACGGTCCTGCTGGTGCTGGAGCTACTGTTAGAAGGAAATGCTGCCATGAGCAACAAAATGTCTGCGCTGGGATTCGAACTCGTGACCTTCAAATCTGTCCTGAAAGTGTCTCAGGACAGATTCAAGACAGTTTCTGCTAAGGCACTGGTTATGGTGCACATGAGTTTCGAACTGGAGACCTTTCGATTCAAGTGTCCCAAAAGTGTCTTGTCAGGACAGATTGGGGACAGTTTGGGGATAGATTGGGGACAGTTTGGCGAAATCGATCTCGGGTCGCGTTTGGTTTGAAACTCGGCAGCGAAGTGTCGAAGTCAACGGAATTTGCACGGGAGTTACAGTCGGTGGTCGACGAAATTCTTGTCGCGGAAATTCTCGTCTACAGAATTCCAGTCAATGGAATTCGCTCGGCAAAATTCAAGGCTCCGAATTTCGCGTCGACGAAATTCAACGTGCGACCCGGGTCGACACTTTCTTGTGTGCTTTTATTTTGTATTGCATCCTAGTATAAAACCAGAGAGCACAAACCAGAAATCATCCAAGTCATTACAACTGCTATGTTTGTGTGTAACTCTGGCTATAGTGGACCGTTTCCTGCAATCTTTGGTGCGTTGGAATTGTGCTTTCAAGCTCTATTAAACTGCTATAGTAGCGGAATTCTACATGGTATCAGAGCTGCGTTATCTACGTCGATCCAACTAGCGGCTTGATTCCGTCCTCCCATCACTTCGTTCCCACGTTGGTGTGGCCGACGCTCGTTTTGACTGCGCATGGAGTGGTTAACGAGCGCTGAGGGTCTGAATGCCCATTAGGAGCTGGAGGCGTCCGTTCGTGAGCACCACCCTCACTTGCGTGATGAGGAGGTCGACCTCATTGTGGACGGTCGTCTACTACGCATGGTTCGGGAGCGTGCGGCGGAGCAAGCACCTGCGAGCGGCCAGCGAGGAGGAACCGGTGAAGGAGGAGCGTGCACAAGGCTCCAAGTGCTGTGGGCATTGGTGGAGGAGCTCTTGCACCAACCATTGACGTAGGATTGATCGGGACAAGCTACGGTCAATTCAAGTTTGGAGTTGAACACATCTCCATGACGCCGCTGCTGGAGGGAAGGCACGACCTTACCGCGTGGGTCAGTGCCATTTGACCTCAGCTCCAGTGTGCTGATTTGTGGCAGTTTTGCTACGGGACAGCACCAAGCCCGGCCCCGAACAACCCCTTGCAACGAAGGGAGTACGCAAAGGGCCAAATGCTTGCATTCATGGTGCTGAACCGATGTGTGTCTCCACCCATCCGAATGTCCATCTCTGGTTTCTCTCAGCAAGAGAATGCCGGGCAGCTAGCATGGGCATATATCTTGTCTACTTATCAAGTTCGTGCCCTCCACGCTTCCCTACTTCAGACCCAGTTAGCCCAACTCAGAAAGGGAGATGATGAGACGGCGGAATCCTACTGCAATAGGACCCGCACCATCCGAGCGGAGCTGCTGACCATTGGACAGGAGGTCCACATGGCCACGTTTGTTGCCCACGTGCTGAAGGGCCTACCACCGGAGTACGGATTTCTTCGCCGCAAGCTCGAAATTTCCAGCCCTGACATGACGGTGGAACGCGTGTGCACCGAGGTGTTGATGGAGGAGCAGACTCTCTACATCGAACAGAGTTACAAGCATATCACCAGCGATACATCTGCTTTCTCGGGCGCTGTCAACACCATCGTGGCTACAACGGGGGTCAACGGGAAGGAAGGTAAAGGGGGACGGGAGCAGACGGACAAGAAGAAGGATGGCAAGCGGGAGAAGAAGCGAGCCCCCTTCAAGGGGCGCTGCTACAACTGCAACGAGGAGGGGTACATGGCTGCGAAGTGCCCCAACAAGAAGAAAGATACAACGCCCGCAGCAGCCGCGAACGTAGCTGAAGGAGACGAGAAGGGCGTGGCGCTCACCGTCGCGTGTTCGGCTGCAAAGTTGCTGGCCGACGACAAGGACTTGTGGTTCCTTGACTCAGGATGCTCCCAACATATGACCGGCCGCAAGGAGTGGTTCACGGTGATCCGTGACCCATCTGCGACGAAATCGGTCAAAGGGTTTGATGGTTCTATGCAGAAAGTTGCCGGTGTTGGTGAGGTTTTGCTGGAGGGCACTAACGGCTTGCGTGTGACCCTACATGATGTCCTCTTTGTGCCAGGAATGAAGGCCAACTTGGTCTCCCCTGGGCAGCTCTTGGACAAGGGAGCAAAGCTGCAAACCGAGGAAGGTGTCACTCGCATCATCGCATCAGGAGGTCGAGTGGCTGCAACGGCACGATACTGCCATCACCTTCACTGCCTTGACCTGAAACCGGGGCCAGCAAGGAACGGTGCAAAAGCTGCTGCGGCATGCAACGGCACGGCGGCTGCAGCGGCATCCACCAATATGGCGGGTGGAGCGGCGAGCAACGGCACAGGGGCTGCAGCGGCACGCAACGGCACGGCGGCTGCAGCGGCAAGCAACGGCAGGGCGGCTGCGGCGGCATGCAACGGCAGGGCGGCTGTGGCGGCATGCGACGGCACGGTGGCTGCAGCAATATGCAACAATACGGCAGCTACAGCGGCATGCAATGGTATGCCTAAGGCATTTGCTGAGGTGGTGTCAAGCGCACCGGAAGAGAATGACGAAGCAGCCAGCCTCACAACATATGCGGTGGGGACCGAGGCGATGCTCAACCTGCGGCACACCCACCTTGAGAATGACCATGCTGGTGCGGTGCAGTGGACAGCCACAAACAGTGGCATGCTAGGCATGGTCCTAGAGAAAGGAGGGGAGGACACGTCGAGCGCCTCCTCCCAAGAAGCCAAACTCACTCGTCAAACGCTTCCGCTACCTGACGAGCGAGAGGGGGAGGTTCTTGGGATGGTCCATGGCCCTGAGCAGAATCAGCCGCCATTACGTACCGTCATCATAATCCCAGTGCCATCTGTGCAAGGGGGCGAACAACCGTTTGATCGTTCGGTTGACCCTGCGGGCAGCAACGCAACCATGGCTCCGCCAGCTCTCTGTCCATCCTTAGCTGCTGGCTTGGCACCTGTGGGACCAGAGGTTGGTCCCTCTGCGGATGAACGTCGTGCAGCTGATGAAGACAAGGAAGGAGAGGCAACGGAACTGAAATCGGCGGCAACCCATGGGAAAGACCCCATACCCACGGTTCCGCCCCTCCAGCCCACTCCCCCAATCCCATGTCATTCTAGCAGGTCCAACAAAGGCATGCTACCTGTTCGGCTTCCCGCATCCACCATGACGGCCTCGGATGCGGTTGATGGCAACAACATGTACGGCATTGCATTCCTTGCTGGAGGTGTTTATGGCACGGACATCTACTATGATGTGGAGTACTTGGATGAGGCTGATGAGGAGGAAGGGGGATTGGGGAGCATCATCATCAACCTCGGAGTAACCTTGACCGGACCTGAAGGCAAGGTGGTGGACAAAGGTCTCTTCGTGTTGGAATACATGTCATCCACGGATGGTTACCTTGGTCTGCAGATTGTGTGCGACCACCCCAACAAGACACTCCTCCTGCACCAGAAGGCATATGTGGCGAAGGTGCAGCAGCGGTTCTTCAAAGGGGCGCCACCGAAGAAGCAGCCGATCACCCCTCTCTCCTCTACCAGCTTTGTCATGGAGGATGCTGAGCTGTTTGCCGATTGCACCATGACCGACCGCCTTGCAGAAGGTGCACACCCCAGGACAGATGCGCATTGGCATGAGCTCTTCCGCACACTCTCCTACTGGGCTGCCTCACCGGACATGGGGCTGCTGTTCAAGGGAGGACCAGAGAGTTTGACTCTTGTGGGGTATACGGATGCGGATGATGTGGGCGACAAGGAGAACCGATTGTCCATGGGAGGCTACCTCTTCAAGCTTGGCGGAGCTGCCGTTTCATGGCAGGCCAAGAAGCTGCAGGGTGCGACCAAACTTTCCTCCACCGAGAGCGAGCTTGTGGCTGCGGTGGAAGCAGGAAAGGAGGGGCGCAAGCTAAGGTTCCTGCTGTGGGAGTTTCAACTACTCAAGAAGGGTGTCCCCACCACCCTGTACGTCGACAACATGTCGGCGGTGCAGCTCAGCCAGGCGGGCGGGCTGCAGGGGCGCATGAAGCATGTGGACCGTCGCCACATGTGGCTACAGGACATGGTGCGCATGAAGAAGTTGGAGGTACAGCACATCCCTACAACGGCGCAGCCCGCGGACTTCTTCACGAAGCGGCTCGACAAGGCAGCCTTCAACCGATGCTGTGCAGCAGCCGGGCTGGTCCAGCGTGCTCCTGACAGCAAGGGGGCGTGTTAGAAGGAAATGCTGCCATGAGCAACAAAATGTCTGCGCTGGGATTTGAACTCGTGACCTTCAAATCTGTCCTGAAAGTGTCTCAGGACAGATTCAGGACAGTTTCTGCTAAGGCGCTGGTTATGGTGCACACGAGTTTCGAACTGGAGACCTTTCGATTCAGGTGTCCCAAAAGTGTCTTGTCAGGACAGATTGGGGACAGTTTGGGGACAGATTGGGGACAGTTTGGTGAAATCGATCTCGGGTCGCGTTCGGTCTGAAACTCGGCAACGAAGTGTCGAAGTCAACGGAATTCGCACGGGAGTTACAGTCGGTGGTCGACGAAATTCTTGTCGCGGAAATTCTCGTCTACGGAATTCAAATCAATAAAATTCGCTCGGCGAAATTCAAGGCTCCGAATTTCGCGTCGACGAAATTCAACGTGCGACCCAGGTCGACACTTTCTTGTGTGCTTTTATTTTGTATTGCGTCCTAGTATAAAACCAGAGAGCACAAACCAGAAATCATCCAAGTCATTACCACTGCTATGTTTGTGTGTAACTCTGGCTATGGTGGACCGTTTCCTGCAATCTTTGGTGCATTGGAATCGTGCTTTCAAGCTCTATCAAGCTGCTATAGTAGTGGAATTCTACAGCTACTAGTCCTGGAGGTATTGCTGGAGGTGCTGGAGGTGCTGCTGGTGCTGGAGGTACTAGAGGTGCTGCTAGTGCTGGAGGTACTGGAGCTGCTAGTCCTGGAGGTACTGGAGCTGCTGCTAGTGCTGGAGGTGCAGGAGCTGCTAGTCCTGGAGGTACTGGAGGTGCTGGAGGTGCTGGACGTGCTGGAGGTACTGGAGCTGCTGCTGGTGCTGGAGGTACTGGAGCTGCTCGTGCTGGAGGTACTGGAGCTGCTGCTGGTGCTGGAGGTACTGGGGCTGCTAGTGCTGGAGGTGCTGCTGGTGCTAGAGGTGCTGGAGGTGCTGGAGCTGCTGGTGCTGGAGGTGCTGGAGCTGTTGGTGCTAGAGGTGCTGCTGGTGCTGGAGGTGCTGGAGCTGCTGGTGTTGGAGGTTCTGGAGGTGCTGGTGCTGGAGGTGCTGGAGCTGCTGTTGCTGGAGGTGCTGGAGCTGCTGGTGCTGGAGGTGCTGGACCTGCTAATACACTTCACCACCTTCTCGGTCTTCCGCCAGCTCCGACGGAGTTCCCAGTCGCTTGTACTACTCCTCCATTACTATTCCCACAGCTACTGCCTCACTCCCCTCTGTCTGCTCCTGCTCCTTATAGTGCTGTGACAGAGTCCCTGACTGAGCGTCGAGAGCCTGAGGCTCGTGCTTCCACTCCTGAGCATCGAGAGCCTAAGACTAGAGTGTCCCTTCCTGCTCGTGTTCGTCGTGTGCGTCGTCCTCGTGCTCCGGCTGTCCCAGGCACTCACGATATGACACTCCGTCCTTCCTCTGTTCTACAACCTGTTGTCCTACCGTCACCTCATGCGTCTTCTTTTCCTGACGTTGCTGACCCTCCGTTTGACCTTGCTCGTGCTTCCAGTCTGACTATCACTCGCTTGCTTGCTACAGTTATCACGGACCCTACGTTCTCGTGTCCTGCTGCGCCTCCCTTAGTCTCTGAGCTAGTTGACTTTGCTGCTGCGCATCGCCTAGACTACCTTGCGAGTCTTGTTACTGACCCTGACCCTGTCTGTCCTTCATCTGTTTGGGGTAAGGTTGCCCTTGGCTGTGACGTTCTTGAGGATAGGCAGGAGGAGCTTGAGTGTCTTGCCGCCGTTGCACCTCATCTTGCGACCATGCTACTTGCCCCTAAGGGAGACCTGGACGCACTTGACATCCCCACCCTGCGCTCTTACAGAGAGGCGATCTTGGGTGAGTACTCTCAGTGGCAGACAGCCATGGATGCAGAGATGGCTTCCTGGAAGTCCACAAGCACCTACGTCGACGAGGTTCTCCCACCTGGGACGAACATCGTCAGTGGCATGTGGATCTTCAGGGTGAAGCGGCCGCCGGGTTCTCCGCCAGTCTTCAAGGCACGGTACGTTGCTCGAGGCTTCAGACAGCGTGAGGGGGTCGACTTCTTTCAGACCTTCTCTCCCACCCCGAAGATGACCACTCTTCGGGTGTTGCTACACGTTGCTGCTCAGCGTGACTACGAGCTTCACTCCCTCGACTTCTCGACAACTTTCTTGCAGGGTAGCCTTCACGAGGACATCAGGCTGCGGAGTCCACCTGGCTTCACTGGGTCGTTTCCTGAGGGTACCTAGTGGGGTCTACGGCGGCCAATGTAAGGCCTCCATGAGGCACCTCGCGAGTGGCATGACACACTGAGGATGACACTTGCAGCTCTTGGGTTTGCTCCTTCGACTGCTGACCCGTCGCTGTTTCTCTGCACCGACACTACCCTGCCGCCGTTCTACGTTCTCGTGTACGTCGACGACACAGTCTTTGCTACTGCCGACACAGAGGCGCTGGCCCTAGTGAAGGCGGAGCTGCAGGAGAGACACACATGCACTGACCTGGGTGAGTTGCGGAGCTATCTTGGCTTGCAGATCGGGGACAGAGCAGGGTGCACCATCACCCTAACTCAGTCACACATGGTGCATCAGGTCCTCCAGCGCTTCCGGTTCCAGTACTCCTCGCCATAGCCCACTCCTCTGTCTACCGGTCACTCGCTCTCAGCTCCACCTTCGGACGAGTCCGTAGAGCCGAGTGGTCCGTACCTAGAGCTTGTGGGTTGCCTCATGTACCTGATGACGTACACATGACCTGACCTCGCGTACCCTCTCAGCCTCCTGGCACGCTACGTGGCACGTGGTAGAAAACGAAAGGTGCACTTTGATGATGTGAAGAGGGTACTGCGTTACTTGTGCAGCACATCAGGCATGGGGCTCGTGCTTGGAGGACGGGGTTCAATGGTCCTCACAGGACACTCCGACGCTTCTTGGGCCGATGACCAGGCGACTCAGCGATCGTTACAGGGTTACACCTCCAGTCTTGGCTCTGAATCTGTCTCGTGGAGATCCATTCGGTCTTCTTCTGTGCTTAGCTCCAGCTGCGAGGCTGAGATCTACGCAGGGGCCATGGCTGCACAGGAGCTACGCTTGCTGACCTACCTGCTGACCGACTTGGGGGAGCGGCCTCATTCTCCTCCAGTTCTGTATGTCGACAACAAGGCAATGCTTGCCTTGTGTCGCGAGCAGAGACTGGAGCACAGAATGAAGCACATTGCTCTTCGCTACTTCCTTGCGCGTGAGCTGCAGCAGCGTGGTCAGCTGCGACTTGCTTACGTGGCCTCCAGTGTGTCCGTAGCACAGGTGTTTCATGGTTCTTTCTTTCGTGGCGGTCTACCCGCTCGTCTTCTATTCTCAGCTCTAGCTGTGAGGCTGAGATCTACGCAGGGGCCATGGCTGCACAGGAGTTACGCTGGCTCACCTACCTGCTGACCGACTTGGGAGAGCCGCCTCGTTCTCCTCCAGTGCTGTACGTCGACACCAAGGCCATGATTGCCTTGTGTCAGGAGCACTACTTCAGCACAGAACGAAGCACATTGCTCTGCGTTACTTCCTTGCTCGAGAGTTGCAGCAGCGTGGTCAGCTTCGTCTTGCTTACGTGGCCACTCGGGCCAACACTGCTGATGTCTTCACCAAGGCACTTCAGCCTTGTGATCATCAGCATTTCTGTACTGTTCTAGGTCTTGTGCCCACAGGGCCTCACTTGCTTACTTCTTGACTTTGCTTGTATTGTGATCTTTGTACATATACCTGCATGCTTACACTTGTTAGGTTGTGATCACTGTATTGTTTGTTCGCCTTCATATAACTCTGCATGTGAACTGGCCTTGTGGCCATTTGCTTGTGCTCAGAATGCGTGGTGACTTCGTGATCCACCCTGAGCGTGCTTTGCTTCTCTTGACTGCTCTTGTGACCTCTTGTTCTCCCCCAATTTGCCTATGGGGGTGTGTCAAACTTGTATGCTATAGTCTGTGTAGGCTGTAGTGGGGTAGCTCATATGGGGTACAACACTTTAGAGTTTCCTACTTGTAATCCTCATGCTGCTCAATGCAATCATTCGTCGTTCTGTTTTCACAGATACAACTGTTGGGCGAGTCCCCCTTGGTTTGTTCGCAGCTCATCTAAGAAAGTTCAGGCTGGTAAGTAACAGTTCAATGCGGTGCACAGAACAAACTGCCCTGCATTGCTCAACATCATCCCCAATTTGGCTATTCGTGACTGCCAGCCATGCCTGCCGTAGCAGCGTCGCTTTGCGTCCACATCTCATCTCTCGCCGCGCTGCCGCGCAAATCTTTGCTCCGACCGCTCAAGCCGCTCCTAACGCCGTCTCTCGTCGGGATGCTCGTGGCGCCACCCTCAGCCTCATCGCGCCCAGCCGTAGTCGCCATGGCGGCCGAGCCGCCATCCCATAAAAACGAGCTTCTAAAACTTACGGCAAAGTAAGTTTGGAGGAGCTCTGTGGTTGTCTTGAAGCGACCTACCCTGGAGTTGCTGGCAAACCTGCACTGAAGCTCCTTTAGACTCGAAATTTATCTGGGGAATATTGGCGACGAATCTGTGCCGCACATCTCAAGCATGTCAAACCTACTTCAGCGTAACTTTCAATGTGCTTGTGCTTTGACAGGGATCGGAAATCGAATCTGCGTCGCGCATCCCATCACTCTCGAAGCTACTTCAGCGTACCTATGAATATGATTTCAACCCTCGAAAACACGTGTCATGCGCTTATTTCCTCGCACAAAATGTCAAAAGCCAATCAAAATTGCCGAGACCAGTCAATCTTATTGGTCGATTTGGCAAGACGTCATGAAAACGTGCGGACGAAACAAAATATATTTGACTGGTTCACGAATATCGGGAACTGCATGCGAAACGATAAACGTTACTTGTTACTCGGTTATTTATTTGATTGTTTTAGTGCTAGCTACTCATTTGTGGATATCACTACATGAGCATAATAGGGTAACAGGACTCTGGTTACTAGTACACTTTGTACCCTACCAACATCAGAATTTGACCTGTAAACCCTTTTTAGCACAGCCAATTATATTCATTTAGGTACCCATGATTTGCATTTTACATGAACACATCAAATCATAAGTAGATGTGCAAGCATTATTTACATCAAATTGCATTAGACATAGATTACTGCACAGAAACAGTAAACAACAATACAACAGGATTTGCCAACTAGATAACTAAAGAATGGAGTAAAATAGAATGGAGGAAAACCGTCACGGATCAAGTATTTCTCGCCTCGTCAGTT